TTCAAAATTCCTGCTGCTAGTTTGTTTTTAGACAGAAAACAAGCCAAATTTACAGCTTGTTTATACCGAGTATTCAGCTAGCAGAGAGGAAAAATCGTGGAAGTTTTCAAGATATTAGCTGATTAGTTTTCCAAAGAAAAAATAAAAAATGACAGGAGGTCTGCGACATCGCAAACATAGATACGTGGTTTCGTACTTTAGCCATCGATATGTTTCCACTTCGAAATTTTTTCCTGCTTTTTCTCAGAGAAGCAGAATAAATCGTCGTTTCATGCACGAAGGAACGTAACTCCATTCCAAAGTTGCAAAATCGCCTCTACCTATTCAATTATTTACGAACTTCTACTCATGCAGTTTTTGTTAAAAAGCTTTCTGATTTCTGCAATAAGGTCAGCAAAAAATCGAAGAAATTTTCAATGAGACATTACCAAGATTGTCCTGGTAAAAATGAAATTTTACTTCGAAAATGTGGCAACATTGAAGTACAGTCACGTTCTTTCGTAAGGAAAACGCCAAAGTAGAGCCCGCGGTAATTTTGGGGCGCAGAGCCTCCGAAATATTTTACCTCGGAATACCTTGCCGAAGGTCAGTAACCCTCTTTTTCTCCCCTTCCCGGTTTGATGAGGTTAACCGGGATAGTTTAAGACGACGCTTTGGGAATCTCTCGGGCCTGTGCCGCGAAAACACAGGACCAGGTCACCGCCGTATCTCCACTCAACACTTTTTCAAAGTTTTTCTGACAAAATGCTGTTTTACAAAAAACCCAACGAATCTTCATCCTTCATTTTTTCAATACAAATTCGTCACACCATTAGGAAGTAAAATTGAAAAAATGAAGCCTAAGGGCAATTGAATTTTCTTGTAATGGAGCAGTGCTTGGTGGAAGAAAGGGTGACATTTTGAGTGGAGTTACGGCGTTTTTCCTGTGGACGGTAGTTCGGGGCTCGACGTCGGAGACAATTGAAACGTGGAAAATCAGATTAGCCGCATCCGTTGGGAAGTTTACTCTCCAAATACCGCGCTTGTGTTTTCCCTCCGAATAACGAGAGGGCCCGAGAAAAAGAAGCTTTCAGCCCCCGCGCGAATTGCGGCGCGAGCGTGTTGTACTGCCGTGCTAGGGAATAACGCCGTATAGACATTCGAATGTTGCCGAATTTCCTCTGATAATACATGAATTTTGGAAAGACGTTAGGCATACTTTTTCTCAGAATGGAGATGTTGCATGTGTGAGGAATTTGCGATTTGACTGTTGATTCTTATGTAAAAGTTCGCGAGAAACACGGTGGTGCCGCTGGTTTTCTCTGAAATCAACTCTCAAGCTCAAAAAAACTCGGAGGGAGTTGTAAAAAGGAGCTGCATGCACGCAGAGAAGCGCCATCAATTTCGCTTGATACCGGAAGCTTCACCGCGGAGTTAGTTTAGTTGCTGAACCCAACCGAACCTAACTTGGCTTGATATTCCGCACCGGATTGATTTTGTGACCGGCGCAACTGACCCATTCAGCCAGGGTGGGTCCGCAAAGGGACTACATTTTGCAATTAGGAACTATAAATTCTAACCCGATTTGAAAACAACGCATGTGCCATTATTTTCCCTACATACACAAGTGTTCTTTCAGATGAGCCAGAATTCGTAGTTCCAAATGGAGATGTTGCATGTGTGAGGAATTTGCGATTTGACTACTGGTTCTTATGTACAATTTTGCGAGAAACACGATGGTACCACTGGTTTTCTCTGAAATCAACTCCCAAGCTCAAAAAAAGCTCTCAAAGTTGAGAACGTAATGGAGGGGATATCCCATGCTACCTTGAGAGTCCATCTCTACATCAAGACAAACTTTCCATGCAAAGATGGGAGCAAATACACTAGCAGGGTTGCCGTGTTTTCAGTTTTAGAGTCCCCAAATAAGGTGGCAACCCTGTCAATGTATTTGCTCCCTATCTCTGCACGGAGAGTTTGTCTTGATGTAGAGGTGGACTCTCAGGATAGCGTGGGATATCCCTTCCATTACAGCCTCAACTTGAGAGCTTTTTTTGAGCTTGGGAGTTGATTTCAGAGAAAAAAAGTGGCACCATCGTGTTTCTCGCGAACTTTTACATAAGAATCAATTGTCAAATCGCAAATTTCTCACACATACAACATCTCCATTTCCAGATATTTTAGATTAAACTGTGAAAAACAGAGTCTGAAAAATTGGGGGAAGAATATGAACAACTTTCCCAATTAATTTGTATTTCATCAAAGGGAATTTCAAAAGGTTCAGACACCGTTCTTCCTTAGCGTAGCAGTGTAGACGTAAGTGTTTGCCTTACCTACGTTGCTGTGCTCAGGAAAAACGACTTATGAACTTGCATGCGTTGTCAATGTCCCCCCTTTAGAATAGTCATTTTCTGGTAAAAACGAATCGTGAGTTTATCGCCTTGAATTTTTTTCTCTTGGATCAAAAATGAATTTGATTCACTTAAGCCACTTTTTTGCTGGGCCATTTTTTTCTTGTTTCAAGAGAGATTCGGCTTAAATCAAGATACAAAAAATCTGAACGACAAATTGAAGAATCGTTACATTTCTGTCGCACATAAACCTTCTCTGCATATATCCTGATCCACAGGCGTTTCCTGGCGAAAATACATTCTTACCAGGAGAGAAACTCAAAAATTTCTTGAATTTTAATAACGGCGGTAAATGACATATTCAAACATCTTCACGTTAAAATTTGTTTCTCGTATACTTTAAGCACGGTACAGGTTTGCTTACGTTATTTGTTACGGTTTGATCCGCTGAACCATCGATGTATATCGAATGGCGTAGCCGCTAAATGGACTACATTTAAAAAATTGGAATAATAAATTCTAGCCCGGTTTAGAAACAACGTATGTGCCATTAGTTTTGCTATGCACATAAGTGTTTTTCCAGAAGAGCCAGAATTTATAGTTCTAAATTGTAAAACGCAGTCCAAATCAGTCTTTTATTGCGTTCCGTTTGTAAATTGCGGGCGACCTCTGACGATCTTCGACAAATAAGCTATTTTAGTAAACTAGTGGAGGGTTGAAAATGGAAAGCGCTCTCTAACAGTCAAGCGCTAATTTGCTCTCATTTATGCGTTAACACGGCAACAAGGTAAAAAGGAAATGCTTTCTTTTGAAGTTTATCACTGGGATGCCTCGAATTCTACCTTTCGGTTCACCCTCTTTAATTTTTCAGTCGGGATCTCCTGCTCTTAAATTGCAACTTCAACCAGAGCCAACAAAGGCATTTTTCTCGAGAATTTTACGACCTTTAAAAGAATAAGTGGCGTTAATAAAGAATGAAAATAAAACCGCTGAAAACCAGAAAATGCAAGCGACTCTTTGTTGTAAGAAAATTCGTTTATTTCAGGGTGAGGGTTTTATTTGGGTTGAGCGCTGAAAGTGAAGCTAAGCGATGGTCGCATATTTGCACAAGTACTTAGACGAATAAATGGTATTTGAGATGAAGCGAGTGTTGCCAGATTCAATGAAGCTTCATGGACAACATTTCAAGATCCTTTTTTTAATGTAAAACGCTTGAATTTGAAAATTCTTTCCATGTACTCAGTTAGTATTAATAAAATGCACGGACAGTGTGAGTTAAACTGAAATAGGTTTGATACTCATGCGCACTTTTAAAAAAGGTATTTCTCTTCTAATGTTTGTTACTTTGGTCATAATTGCGGTGTACGTATACACGCCTCTGGTGAAAAACAGTGGCTGTTAAGGGATCTCTGTAATATCACTCCGCGGGGCGCCTTCATTTAATGATCATGCAATTTCACCCACGTGCGAGGCGAAATAATTATCTCACGAGGGAATGGGGCGGCTTCAATCAGTTCCATTAATAATTATTTTTTACATTTAGCGGAGTGCGGAGTATCATACGCTTTTATGGTGCTGATTTCGCCTCGCATTCACATGACTTGAGGTATTTCAGCGCTATATAGACTCCGGCGCCGAATTTCACTCCTTAATGACTAACAGTGTATCAACAGGGGATAGCCCCTGATAGATGGTCTGTCTCTATTTAGAGAAACTTGGTAAGGGGGGACTATCTTAAAGGGAACGATTGCGGTCAGAAGGCTTACCCCCTGGTAATTATACCAGGGGGTAAGCCTTCATTAGTACAGGGTGATACAGGGTTAAACGGCTAGATTCCAGGAGCGTGTTCTATGGGACGGAATAAGTCTCTTTTGTTGTATAAAGTTTTTTTCCAAAAAAGCTCCAAGTCGGAGCTACGGACCCCCAAAATTTTGGAAAGTAAATCGTTTCCCGTGAATTTCGGCAACGGTTGTGGACCAAATCTGATGAAAATGTGTATTCCTCGTACTTTTATGCACTGAAATCATGAATCATCTAAAAGATCGAACACTCAATTTAAAGGTTTGGGGTGATTTTGCTCCTGCAGTCCGCCGTTTAACCTTGAATCATCCTCCGGGCCGATTATTGAAATTGATAAGCAAAGCTATAGACAAAGGAGACAAATGAGATTGAGATATGAGGATCCCATGCGTGAAAGCCGCTGGTTGCGATGGACAAAGGAGGAATAGGTAATAAATAGACTGAGTAACGGAAAGCCACGAGGGACCCGAATGTTAGCCAATCATTTTCTTCCTCAGTCTATAGGGAACTACCCATTTCAATCAATAGTCTAGTCTGCAGGTTTCAATTTGGAATTTTTATAGTTTATTTTTATTCTTCCGACTGGAAATGGCTCAGTTTTAAGCCGTAAATCTCTTCACGAATGCCCTCTACCCACCGTTTGGCTGGACGCCCTCTCCTTCGCCTACCTGGGGGGGACCCACTCCAACACCTTCTTCGGCAACCTGGTATCAGCCATTCTCTGCACATGCCCATACCATACCAATTGCTTGGTCATGATATCGTGCACAATCGTCCCCTCAACGCCGGACACTATCTCTCACTATCTCTAGGGTTGTCCATCAATTTCAATTATCGAGCGGCAGTATGTATTTTTGAGTTGACACGTACCTGACTTGGGCACCTTCCTGAACTGGACGTCCTTCATCTCGGCAGCGAGGATCTCGCTTAGGTTGAAGTGGGAACGCGGCTGCTGCGAGCACTGCTCATGGTAGAGGAGGACGACGGCGGAGCGAGGCTCGACGGAGCGCGAAGCCCTCTTGGCGAGCCCCAAGACGAACCCGATGAGAAAACAGACGACTATGCTTCCGGCGCCCAGGTTGAGCTTCCCCATAGGACGGCCGAGTCCTAGCCCGACATCGCTCACGAAACCGGCGTCCGCTTCCTTCTCATGCCGCCAGAGGGCGCGCGCCGACGCCCGGCTCCCGCAACGCACTCGCCGCCCGCCCGGCTCAGCGCCCGGCGCCACCATCGAGCGCGCCGCGACACGCGCATCGCTCGTCCCACGCCGACGGGGACATCCGGATGCCCCCCGATTGCCGCGTTTATTCGCGGGAGGAGTCGGGTTTGCTCACGGACGATGGGTGATCTTGAAGTGGATGTCCGTCACCCGGGGGAAGTTCCATCACGCGGAGACCGTCAGGCAATCCTGAAATAGAGAACATACAAATTAGGCTATTTTTGACTTAACACATATCCTAGATTAGAATAAGAAGATGAGCGGCAAATGGAGATGTTGCATGTGTGAGGAATTTGCGATTTGATTATTGATTATTATGTAAAAGGTCGCGAGAACACGATGGCCCCACTGGTTTTCTCTGAAATCAACTCCCAAGCTCAAAAAAAGCTCTCAAAGTTGAGGGCGTAATTGAAGGCGTAATTGAGGGAATATCCCACGCTATCCTGAGAGTCCACCTCTCCATCAAGACAAACTCTCCATGCAAAGATAGGGAGCAAATACATTAGCAGGGCTGCCACTTTATTTGGGGACTCTAAAACTGAAAACACACGGCAACCCTGATAATGTATTTGCTCCCTATCTTCGCATGGAGAGTTTGTCTTGATGTAGAGGTGGACTCTCGGGGTAGCATGGGATATTCCCTACATTTTGGCCTCAGCTTGGGAGCTTCTTTTGAGCTTGGGAGTTGCTTTCAGAGAAAACCAGTGGGATCATCGTGTTTCTTGCGAACTTTTACATAAGAATCATCAGTCCAATCGCAAATTCCTCACACATGCAACATCTCCATTGGGAGACGATAGACAAGAGAGACGTGAGGATAATGGAGCGATCACTGAAAAAAAAGATTGGTAGAATTTACTATTTCTTCACGATGTATTTCACACATCGTGAAGGAATGGTAAATTCTACCTATCTTTTTTCAGTGGCCCTATTCGTTGAAAAATGTCGATCTTATAGACAAAGGGGGGAAAAGATGAACTATCTGCAAGGTCTATTGTCGGTTGCCGTTAGTAAGTCTATGACTTACTTCCTTTGTCTATTTCAACCGACCGCCTCCACCGATTGGATTGCTCCAGTTTTTTGTTTTCTTTGTCTATTGCTTTGTAGATACAAATTTTTACGAGGTAGCCGGAAAAATGGTAACAGGAGAAACACAAGGAGAAAATATGGGAAACAAGGGTGACATACAACAATAAAACACCCGAGACGTTTCGACTCAAAACTGAGTCATGCTCAGTCGGAAAATACAATAAAAATTAAAGAATATCGATGAAAAAACCTGAGGCATACATAATTGTGGCCAAGATCCAAGAAAAAAACCTGGGTCTAATTTTTTTTCATCGATGTTTTTTAATATTTATTGTATGTTTGAACTGAAAATGACTCAGTTTTGAGTCGAAACGTCTCTGGTGTTTGATTGTTGTATTTTAGCCTCGTTTCCCGTTCTTCCCCCTTCTTTTTCTCCTGCGGGCTGATCGTTCAAATTGATAGACAAAGCTACAGACAAAGAGGACAAATGGGATATGGAGGGACCCTATCGGTGGAAGCTGGTGGGTGCAGTGGACAAAATCACTAGATAATAAACTAACTAACGGCGCACGAGAAACCCGACAGTTAGTCCATCATTTTCTCCCTTAGTCTATAACAACCACCCAAATTAACCAATAAGATCGCTCCATACTACCTATGTCTCCTTCGTCTATTCCTTTGTCTATAAATTTCAATAATCAGCCCGCTGTTACCATTGCTTTGTCTACCAATTTCAATAATCAACCCGCTGGCCTTTTAGGCTTGGGACACCCTGTACACATTAATTATACATAACGACGTTCAGGTGCAACCAAAATTGCATCCTGTTCCCTTTCAAAAGCTCATCCGCGCCCATAAAAAGGGGTTTTACCCCTTCGCTTAGCGGAGAGGAAATTCGGCGGTGGTTACCCACTTGAGTGAGTTACGGAATCCGTAATTCGCACATGGGGAGGAGGAAAACGGAAGCCGTGACGCATAAATCAGAGCGAAATGATTCGGAAATGAGAATTAATCACGTACACAAACTAAACGCCGCGCTAGCTTCTCGCGAATATTTTCCTCATTAGGAGGAAAGTTTATCGCACGCTCCGCAAACTTCTTCGCGCTCAGTTTCTAACGGCGAACATAACTCATCTCAGCGCTCCTTCGATAGTTCGCCCTTCCCTAATGTGCACCTATACTCCGATCGAGGAAAGACCGGACCGGAGGTTGGAGATTTCATCGCGGGTTTCCTCGCCGTCGATGATGGGAGGAAAAATTAAAATGAAATATAAAAGCGTTGAACAGTCTCCGTGCTCTGTTAGAAATGTCGGAGCGGATTTCGAATTGTATTTCATTCCGAACGAAATACATCCGTTGGCCGTCCATAAAAGCATAGACAGATCCTTAAGGGAGAGGCGTGGGGGGTTTACGCCCCCAGTGGCGTAGCGTGCTTTGCGATATATCGATTGTTATGCCATTTAAACGTACAGAAAAGGATCGATAAACAGGGTGTTCGCAGCGAACACCTTAATAATCGATTCTTTACCAAAGATGTAAATGGCATTACAATCGATTCATCGCAATTCACGCCACGCCACTGTGCGCCACCCTCCCTTCCGTTTGCCCGAGAAAAGGAGGAAGAAAAACGATGAAAGAAAAAGGTAATGAAGGAAAGAGGAAGGAAGGGGCGGAGGGTGCTTTTATTTGGTAATCGTTGATAACCAAATCGATTTAAACTGCATGTTTCATGCTTTTATGAATTAGAGAATTTACAGGTGGAAGTCCCTCGAACCCGCCTTCTAGCCCCCCCCCCCCCCNTCTAAGAAACTAAAAGGAACTCTCTAAAAGGATATCAAAAACGTAGGAGAAAAAACGGGAAACAAGGCTAAAAATTACACATACAAACCCCAGACGTTTCAGCCCAAAACTGAGCCATTTTCAGTTGGAAGAATAAAAATAAATTGTAAAAAATTTCAAATAGAAACCTGCAGATTACATGATGGCCGAGAAAATCAAAGCAAGAGCTTTAAAAGATCTTCGTTTTCGAGGCTAATTTTTAGCCTTGTTTCCCGTATTTTCTCCTATGTTTTTAATATCACCATTGTTAAGGGCTGCTGTTTTAGAAATTTTAACCTATATACTCTCTAAAAAGAGCTATGTCCATTCTGACATGAGCTCTCAGATCCATAAGAATACATGCATAACAAGGTTCATGTAACAATAAAATATAGTTCCTTTACCCTGGTAAAAATTGGCAGTAGAGTGTGTTCCAAAATACTATAGACCTAAAGCCGGCTGTAAGATTTCCAATAGCTTCTGTAGCCGGCTGTACAATTTCTTATAGCCTTTTATAGCCGATGGCGACTAAGCAACAGCCAGACGATAAAGTTTATGCTAAACGTTACTAATTACGGATACTAGGACTTAGGTAGTTTTTGGACTACCGCTCTCTTTTTGTGCCGTAGTATCTTGATTTATTTTGCGAAGAAAGCTCCCTACTTTTGAAGGATGCTTGTCATTCTTAATATGTTGGAGCGCCTTCAATTTCTTATGATACTGTGCAATACCTCTGGTGTGAAATAGTTGCTTCAGACGCCGTGGCACGCTGCGGCGAGGCGAGGCGGGCAGAAAGCGCGAAAAGCGCATTGGCGCCTACAAACCTAACACGGATACTTCACGCATTGCGCAATGCGTGAAGTATCCCTGTTAGGTTTGTAGGCGCCAGTGCGTCGCCGCTCCGCTTTGTGTTAGGCTCTAATATTTAATCTGACGGAGTCAGCGTTTTTCAAGTCAAGTCATGATTTTGAAATGTTTGCTCACTCAGTATGGACTATTCTCATTTTAATTGATGAAAAAAAATATGTTTTAAAGGAGTATATAATGTGTGTTTTGTAAATATTAAGGTAGTTCCGTATCAAACTTAATGATTTCCAAAGCACACGAATTTCTACACAATTTCTTATAGCCTCTTATGGCAAATGGCGATAAAGTGTAAAGCCCGGCGAAAGGACCTGTAGCCCGACTGTATACTTTTTTATAGCTTCGTATAGCCCGGCTAAATGATTTGCTCCGCTTTCTACAGTCAGCTATACATATGATTTTCAATAGCCATCTTTAGTCGGCCATAAGAACTCCTATGGTATTTTGAAACGCAGCTCCTATCGCCAATATTTACCAGGGTTGTTTTAAATGCGTCCATTTTGAAGTTAAAGAGTAGGGGTGCAGAGTTTTCTAAGCTCCGACAATTTCACCCACCCCGCATGAAATAACCCATTGGAGTGGCCGGATATGAATTTGTTCAAAGAAACCGAAAATTTTGATATTTTGTCTTTCACCAAAACATAGTATAGGGTGCTTCAGAGTGAAAATTTTACCAAGAAACCAATAAAACCACTTGTAAACCTTGCTGTCGATATTAATATAGCTTGTATAATTTTCACACCTTGTCAAACCCCTCTTATTGACCAGTACCACTAGGTGCCTGATTGCCGGCTTTCCACATTTTTCTCATCGACTTTTCACGCATTACTACACCAGCCTCGAAGAGAGTGATGACATTTTCCCTATTTTCTTTTCGACTCTCAGCTTTTGACCCTTAAAAATGTCCCTCCTTCCGCGTTTGTAAGACGTTATTCTACTTGACGCGCCTGCCTTGGAGCGTGATTTTCTATGGGTACCCCTGAGAAAATTTTGACTCCGCTTCATATTCGGGTAAGACGGCGCGGCGTTGCTTCGATTCCGCATGGGACCAGTGGTGAGGCGTAAATAATCGATTATCGATATTTCCCCATTTGAAGCTGTGGTAAAGAGTCGATTATTAAGGTGTTAGCTGCGAACACCCTGTTTATCGATCATTTTCCGTAGGTTTAAATGGCAGATCAGTCGATATATCGCAAAACACGCCAAGCGAGTGCATGGGACCGCGTGTATACTCTCATTCTAGAGAAATTGAGTGCACGCTCCTCCGAAAAGGGCTTTTTGTGGGGAAATAACCCGAGAGAAATGCCAAGACTGCCGTTCGTGGCTGTGCCGCAGGGAATGAGTAAAATAATCCCGCTCAGGATCACGTAAACACTGCCGTGCTAAGGAAAAACGCCGTATGAACATTCGAAAGTTGCCAAATTTCCCTTGGTAATACACATATTTTTGACAAAATTCATGCAAATTTTTCCTTGAAA